TGATTCGGAGAAATCGTATTGCATAGTCACACGGAAGGTGGAGATATTGCGACCCTGCTGAATGAGGGACTTGATGATGCCAAATGATCAGAATATACATTGGGTATACATGCTATCGCAATAGTTTCATAAGACTGGGAAAGGGGAGAGCTGTGGTCAACAGTAAACGGAGATTTAATGCTAGCATGATACTTACATCAAATATACTTGCAAAGGCAGACAGGTGAGGTCTTTTTAACAGCTGACGCAACTCCCAGGTGACATCACCAGCCCTGTTAACCCCTGGGGGTATTGCGGTGCCAGGTGTTCTTTCAACCACAGTAATTGCATCACTGGTGAGACCAATCATAATCTGCACAGAGTCTGTGATTAAGTCATCCATTGTGCCGACTCAAAGGCCCATCTCTGTAAAGTTTAAAGTTATCAGAAGGTCCGTAGTACAGTTTGGGTTTGGTAGTTGGAAAGATCTTTCAAAAGCTACATAGGAAGATAAGAGCTTCTGTTATTCCTGGACATTAGAAAGAAAGAAAAACATGAACCAGTGTTGCCTTTGAATCATAGATGCATGAAAAATTGGCTCCTAAGACCACAATGATACAATTAGTAATACTGCAAGATGTGTGACCCTCTAAAGATATTAGAAAATCCTTACATTATTGTTCTAGTGGAACCACTACAGTCATCAACTGGTCAATGACACAGCTGGGTCAATGACACAAAACAGTTTTGCTCCCCCATTTTTGCTCACATTTCTTAGAAATTTTATATTGTTGTAAGGGAATACTATATCAATATAACTGTGCTTTTTTTGAGGCAAGAGCCTCTCTTGAACTCCTTAAAAGCTTTATTCATCGGTTTTGATCAGGCTTTGACAATTCCATTGCCCTGATCTGGCAACAATCTCTTGAAGACTGAGATTTATTTTGACAGTCCCTGAATACAAAATACATAGGGTACAATAATCAAAATTTATCTAGGAGTGTACTGGCTTGTAGGGACTGTCAGCAAGGAAAAGATGTGAAACAATGCTGAGATGGGTTACCAAATGTGACAGAGTTTGTGATGCATCCAAATTGGGTTTACCTGTCAAATGAAAATATTTCCTCCGCCTCGCCTTAGCTGACAGCCTAAAATGCATGGATGACCTCTGTTCAATACATGAGACCTCCAGGTGAACTAACATGAGTCCCTTGAGGAGAATATCTCTCAGATGTAAGTCAAACCAACTTTTGATGCCATATCCCAATCAAGCAACTTGTGACTGTGTCATTGAATGGTGTTGATGCTGTTTTGACCGAAATATTCAGTCCTCAACAGGTACGCAAGATAAAAAGTTTTAAAGTACTAATTTGTATAGTGTAAATACTTCATCAGCTTTTGTACAATTCAGTTTTTGAGGAGCCGCTGTGTGAGGGATGTGATCCAGTCAATAAAAATGTTTGTGTCATTGACCGGTTGATGACTGTATGCCAAATATGTCAACCAAATATTACATGTCATCCACTCAAATGAAATTTGCAATCTCTGGAAGAAAATTTCTTCTACAAGTTGTCCTCCCTTCATCTTTCATATGCATGGGATTGCTCCCTTCTGTATGGAAAAGCTTGGATATACCAGATGTCTTTTGGTTTTCAATGCTCATACTTATTATACTGCATCACCTGGTCAGGTATGGTTGTCAATGTAATTATCAGGTTGTTCTATCATACTAACACTAGAAATTTTAGCTGCCTTAATCTGGAGTGTGAATATGGCTTTGCCGATGTTCCTGCCCTTTTCTTTGAAGTTACAAGTATGTTACAATTTTTTTTTGCCTGAACTTACTTGAATATGGCTGTAGATATTGCACCTTATATGACAGAACTGGGGTCAATCAGTTCAAGGTCATATGTAACAGTGATTACCTATACTGTTTTAGCCTGGGTCATCTTCATCAGCCTGATGCTAGAAGTGTTGATTTGGGTGGGATGTATGGCTTTCTACATCACTCAACATGTTTGGAGCACAACAACTCCACACTTTTTGGGACAAAAGGTTTCTCAACCTCATAAAGTATTGTTTGGCCATGCAGCATGGAGGAGACATTTCAGGTTAGTGATGTCTAAAGAATAGTTAAAAAAATTAGTCTGACAATTTACAGTGGAGAGACCAAGATAATTCAGTTATCAAGAGGATTGCTTGCAACAACCTTTATTTTAATACTTCTCTTCTCCTTGGTTGTCAATGTTTTTCTAGATCCCATTCAAGAAACTGGCATTACACCAACAAAAGATATTCGTTCCCTTAGCTCATCTTTGCTTCCATCGGCATCCGACACATGTTCATGGAGTGTGGTCCTTGTATGTATCACTCTTTTTAAATGTCTCTCAGACATATCTGAAGGAGATATTGTTTAATTAGGTCACTCCACACTATCCTAGAAGATCAGATCCAGAAGACTTTTCAAGCATGATCAATGTCACACCATTACCGAGAAGCAAGGGTCAGTTCAATATGCTCACTCAACTCACTGAAAAAATATGACAGATGTAGATCCACCAAACATGATTTGGTAGGGTTTAAGATTGTCTTCTGCAGTGAGAGCTCTGTGATGCAATAAAACATGGTGTTGAGAGCAATAAAGGATCAAAGATCCCATCTGAAGAAGTGCTTCAAGGAAGAGAAAGATTGCAAGAGCAATGTAAACAGCTACACAATTTATGGTGGGTGGTTGATGCCTCAAATTGAAAGCTGCATCTGGCATAGTTGGCAATGACAGCATGGATATGGCAATGAATGGAATATAATATCCAATACCTAATATGTTATATCAACAGAGAGTTACTGCTCATTGATAGTGAGGTGACTACATACCTGCTACTTCAAGCAATAGAAGTGAAGATCAAAAAGTCCAAAAAATGTGTCCAGGTTGAATGTCCTAAAAACAATGAGAATAAAAAGACTAAATAAATTTGAAC